TTACTTTAGCTACACCATGAAAATATAAAGTAATCGGTGGAACTTCTGGAAATTGTTTACGCGTTAACAAACACATGATGCGGTAATATTGCCCATCATATTTTTCATCTTCTAATTCTAATTTTAAAATTGTAAAAGAATGAGTAAATATATTTGGTCTTGGAGATAAGCTTTAATAGATCACGTGAATTGGCAAGTTTTTGTCAATAAATGTAGACACTAGTGTTAATAGATTTGTTTTGAAACAATATACATGATAATAATATAATAATAGTAATGAAATAAAAATGAAAAATATAATGCATAGAGTTTCTAGTTTGTTGAAGAACAACAGGCAGCTGAGAATCGACAAACCGAACCAAATCTGAATAAGCATTTGCTATATCCGTTAGGATTATGATATATTCAGATGATTTAGCTCTACTAATCATTTTTTTACTGAAACTTGCTTTCGAAGGTGCTACTAAGATACCAATTGTTGTATATTTGTGATATCTGGATAAAACACCTTCTAAATCACGTAAATATTGCGGTCCAATTGATCCAGGTTCGAGATAGTTCTATAATGATAAGCTTTGAATTTTTGAATTATTTGACTTAAAACATGATACTTACTTTGCACTGGCCAATAACTGTATATCCCCTGTAACCGCCAAAATGATCGATTCCACCGTCTCCTGGCTCCTTTCTATTTGGTATAGAAGAATATAAATGAGTATTTGTGTCATGATTACCAAAAATTTTATCCCGATACATATGTCAGCCGATAATAATTCATGTATCTTATTCATCACAGGCCCCGATACATATGTCAGCCGGCCTTTCGAAAACAGAGAAGAACGTTCACAGCAGGTCGTCCACCATATGTCAAGTCTGAATACCTGACTAGTAACTTTCACAAGCTGTGGCCACGAAGAGCTTTCAATTCTCTGATTTACTTCTAGTGACAGCGTAACTTCAGATACATAGTAACTCAACAATAACTCAATGAAAACTCACTTCGTTTGACGTAATTCAACGTTATTGTCTTTAAAAAGGTTGGTGAATTCTTTTTCGAGCTGTTCGCCTTTTTTATGTGAATTCATTTTTAGTATAAATTTTATTTTAGTTTTACGTATTAAACGTTCTTCTTACCATACTTTTCCTCTTTATTAAAAATTTTTGATATAATCATGTATGAATGCCTTTTTGAGTAAAAAAAAAACGAGGAATAAGCCGATATCGATATATAGTTATAAACCATAAGTATAGATGCCTTTTTAGCCATATCGACGTACGCATCATATAAATTCTCTCTAAATACATGATATAGCTCGATCCCAGCTCTATATATAAATGCTACTATGGTCCCGAGGGAGAGAAGTAAGCAAAAGCCATTTAAAAGAGGGCAGTATAGCGAGCGCTAGTAATTTAAATCACGTACGTATTAAGGAAAGATTATCAAATTCAAAAATATGCATCTAGGGTGATTATCGCAATTATTTAACAATTAGGGGTTTCACAAATATGATTAGCCAATTATTATCTTTGCTCCGGATTGTTTTTTCATGATGAATTTAGTAAGATAAGTATAGTTCATGAATATGACGTTTATAATACAATAAGTAATAGTAATGGTAGTGTCAGCATACACGTCATTTATATGTATTTATTGCGAAAAATATAATAAAACCTTGTAAAATCCAAATTAGTGTTCCGGCCCGGGTCGGGTGACCCGTACGGGTCACGGGTCAGAAATTGCTCTAACCCGGGTCAAACGGGTCAAGATTCGGAGATAGTAAAAAAATATTTTTTGTT